TACTTGATGAAAAATACGAATAGAGAGTGAGTGGCAGTGTGGTGCTTGATTCAAGGTGATTCTATGCACAATTGAATGAAAAGCTGCCCAGTCTTGCTCCATCCTTATGGTCAGTTGCAGATTGGACCATTGTGGTCCATAGGGTTTTCAATGATTGGCTTAGGAAGTAGATTGCCAGGTCTTTCTTCCTAAGTGTGTGATTAAGGGCATATGATTAGACATGTTTCTTTCTCTCTTTTTCCTGTTAATTTATTTTTCTAGTTACTACTTTTTTAATTGGGAGCTCTGGTAGCATAGTGCCTAAGGCACTTGACTGCTAACCAGAAGGCTGGCGGTTCAAACCCACCAGCCACTCCTCAGAAGGAAGGTTGGGCAATCCTACTTCCGTAGTGATACTGCCTCGGAAACCCAAGGAGGGGTCGCTATGAGTCGGGGCTGACTCAACGGCAAATAACAACAACAACAACTTTTTTAATGAAGAATGCTAAGTATGAGCTAAAAGGAAATGACCTAGCCACTTGGTGGCAGTATGCCATGAAGAATATACTTTATATAGCTTCATTTCAGTCCTATGCTTAAATATTTTGTCATTGACTTGATTTCTTCTCTGGGAATTTTGTTTATAAGTTGTCTTACTTCAATTATCTGATTCTTTGTGAAATTACCCTCTGATAATTAAGTATCTCTTCTCAATGACTTTAATTTAATCTAATTTAAATGAACTAACCTACTCAATCTGAAACTAAGATAAAAGACTGCAAAGATTATGTTTATTACTTAAGCAGACTAATAAAGTCCTAGTAAGATATGCAAATTATTGTTATGTGATGCAAATTAATAATTGAAGTTTCATTAAAAAATAACTACCAGTAGTTTATAAAATAAATATGAAGAATTTTAAGAGTTTTACCAACTTCTGCAGTCTGAAATTAATCAAACATGCAATCAAGATGCATCGATAATTACTGGTGATTGCAATGTGATTGGAAACAAGAAAGAAGGATCGGCAGTTGGAAAATATGGCCTTGGTGATAGAAATGATCCCATAAATCTCACGATAGAATTTTTCAAGACCCAAAACTTAATTCATTGCAAATACCTTTCTTCAAAAACATAAATGTGGCTATACACATGGAATTCACAAGACGGTGACAACATCTGTGCAAAGAGGTGAAGAGAACCTTAATATCATCAGTCAGAACAGTGCCAGAGGCTAACTGTGGAACGAACAGACCATCAACTGCTCATAGGCTAGTTCAAGTTGAAGCTGAAGAAAATTAAAACAAGTCCATGAGAGCCATAATATGACCTTGATTTTATCTTACCTGAATTTGAAGACAATCTCAAGAATAGATTTGGCACATTGAACACCAGTGACCAAAGAACAGATAAGTTGTGGGATGACATCAAGGACATCATAGATGAGGAAAGCAAACAGTCATTAAAAAGGCAAGGAAGAAAGATAAGACCAAAACAGATGTCAGAGGAGACTGGAAGTTGCTATTCAACACAGCATAGCTAAAGTGAATGGAAGAAATTATGAAATAAAGGAGCTGAACAGAAGATTTCAAAGGGCAGTTTGAGAAAACAAAATAAAATATTATAATGAAATGTGCAAAGACCTGGAGTTAAAAATTTAAAAAGGGAAGAATGCATTTGGCATTTCTCAAGCTGAAAGAACGGAAGAAAAAATTCAAGTTTCAAATTACAGTATTGAAGAATTTTTTGGGCAAAATATTGAATGATGCAGGAAGCATCAAAAGGAAACGGAAGGAATACACACAGTCACTGTACCAAAATGAATTGGTCTATGTTCAGCAATTTCAGCAGGTGGCAGATGAGCAAGAACTGAGGGTACTGAAGGAAGAAGTGCAAGTTGCACTGAAGGAACTGGAGAAAACAAGGCTCCAGGAATTGACAGAATGCCAATTGACATGTTTCAACAAAAGGATGCAGTACTAGAGGCGCTCACTCATTTATGCCAAGAAATTTGGAAGACAGCTACCTGGTCAGTCAACTGGAAGAGATCCATGTTTGTGTCCATTCTAAAGAAAGGTAATCCAATAGAATGCAGCAGTTATCCAACAATATCAGCTACTGTGTCAACCCATATTGCTGAGAGTCTTCCCCTTTTTCACTAACCCTCTACGAAGCATGATTTCCTTCTCCATGGACTGGTTCCTTCTGATAACATTACCAAAATAGGAGAGGTGTAGTCTGGCCATTCTTGCTTCTAAGGCACATCCAGTTGTACTTCCTCCAAGACAGATTTGTTTGTTCTTCTGGTAGTCCATGGTATTTTCAATATTCTTCATCAACACCACAAGTCCTTATTAACTCTCCAGCTTTCACATGCATATGAGGTGATTGAAAGTACCATGGCTTGCTTGGGTCAGGTGTACCTTAGTCTTCAAAGTAACATCTTTGCTCTGTAAAACTTTAAAGAGGTCTTTTGTAGCAGATTTGCCCAGTGCAATATGTTATCTATTTCTTGACTGCTACTTCCATGGGAATTGATTGTGGATCCAAGTCCAATGAAATCCCTGACAACTTCAGTTTTTCTCCATTTATCACAATGTTGTTTATCAGTCCAGTTCTAAGGATTTTTATTTTATTTTCATTAAATTATAATCTATACTGAAAGCTGCAGTCTTTGATCTTCATTAATAAGTGCTTTAAGTTTTCTTCACTTTCAGCAAGGTTGTGTCATCTTCATATTGCAGGTTGTTAATGGGTCTTCCTCCAATCCTGATGCTGTGTTCTTTATAAAGTCCAGCTTCTCGGATTATTTGCTCAGCATACAGATTGAACAAGTGCGGCCAAAGTATACAACCTTGTCACACACCTTTTCTGATTTTAAACCATGTAGTATCCCCTTGTTTTGTTCTAACAACTGCCTCTTGGTCTTTGTACAGGTTTCACATGACAACAATTAAATGTTCTAGAATTCCCATTCTTTACAATTTATCCATAATTTCTTATGATCTATACAGTTGAATGCCTTTGCATAGTCAATAAAACACAAATAAATATCTTTCTGATATTCTTTGCTTTCTGCCAGGATCTGTCTGATATTAGCAATGATATTCCTTGTTCCACATCCTCATCTGAAACTGACTTGAATTTCCCTGTCAATATACTGCTACAACTGTTTTTGAATTATCTTCAGCAAAATTTTACTTGGGTTTGATACTAATGATATTGTTCAATAATTTCCACATTCTATTTCATTGGACTCAAGTTTCCACATTCTATTTCATTGGTATCAAGTTTCATTGGAATGGGCAAAAATATGTATCTTTTCCAGTTGATTGGTCAGGTAGCTGTCTTTCAAATTTCTTGGCATAAATGAATGAGAACCTCCAGTGCTGCATGTCTTTTTTGAAACATGTCAAATGATATTCTGTCAATTCCTGGAGCCTTATTTTTTGTCAGTTCTATCAGTGCAGCTTAGAAGTCTTCCTTCAATAACATTGGTTCTTGATCATATGCTACCTCCTAAAATGGTTGAACATCAACCATGACATGTTTTTTGGTACCATGACATGTATTCCTTCCATCATCTTTTGATGCTACATGCATTGCTCAATATTTTGCCATAGAATCCCTCAATATTGCAACTTGAATTTTTTCTTGAATTTAGATTAGATTTTTCTTCAATTTAGATAAATAAACCTGGTTGTTGGCCATATGAGCATAACCTTGAATCTCTCAGAGTTTGGAGGAAACACATATTCATCAAGTAAAAGAGACTTTCAAAAGCACTGAGAAGCCTAAAAGGATGTCTGATTTGTCACAGTTCACAGTGAAACATTTTTTTTCTTGCTGTAGAGAAGCCAGAAGAGAAACATAGGAAGATCCTTTGCCTTTTTTCTGAAGGTTTCATCTTCTAAAATCCCTTACCTGTTGTTCTTAGGAAACTACCGTTCAATAGAACTTGTGGCGGAACTCAGATCAGCCTTTTTTAAAAATTCCAGAGACCCAGGGAAACTTTTTTATTGGGAATGTTTGATCTTTTTCTCAAAGAGAGTTGCACGAGACACACAGCTTATTATACAAGCCTTTGATATCTCAGTGGCAGTTAAGGACATTTTGAGTTGTGATTTTTCCCTGTCCCCAAAAGCTTTTTTTTTTTTTTTTAAGTAGAATTTGAACATGAAATTAGACTGACTGAGTAAATGGGTCTGAGGCACTCTCAGGGAAACAGAGCTTAGAACCATCTTCCAGAACGTCTTCTGTCAACTGAGAGAATTGTGTCCTTGAAGTCACCTCTGGCAGTTTTTAATCATCAGGAAAGAAGAGATGAGCAAGGCAGCACCAGGATGCTTTTGAGTTCAGACAGAAAGTGAGGGAGCTGCCAAGGCTGCTCACTCTGCCCTGGTCAGAAGCTTTCATTAGCAGTGTCCTGACAGTCTTTATGTGGATGACTAGACAAGGCTGGCCAGGATCCTTGCCAGCAGAAAAGGAGCAGAGAGGTCATTAATGACATTCCACCCCATGTTACAACCCAAAGTGTCTACTAATCAAAACTGGGCTTTTTGTGTGGAGCCAAGAGAGGGGGATTGTGCAAAGGCAAAAGTGACAAATCTTGGAGGCTCTTAAGGAAACTTAATCTTTATTGCATCATCTATGAGATGGAATCAAGTAAAGACCAGCTCTTCTGGCAGTTTTCCAGCTCAATGAAATAAAGCTCCTAGTTATTTGCTGCCTAGAAGCCTCAGGAAATTAGTAGACACACCTTGAAGTTTTACAAACCTTAGGTAGTTTTTATAATCCTTGCAGTGTTTCCTCCTTTGGGATTTACTCAATTAAGTGAAAGAAGAAGAAAAGATACACACACTCACACACACCATTGCCTTTATTCCATCATTCATGTCTATTAAAGTTTAATATTAAAGTTTACTTTAATCATTTCTAAATAAGTGGAGAAACTCTCTTAGGAAAATGGGCAACCTGTGTGCAAAATGCAAGAAGCTGACCCTGTTGTCTTTTTGTTTAAGTTCCCCAGGTCACACCAAAATCATTCCAACATGAGACGCAGAAATCTGGGCTTTTAATCGCTTCCAGCTTTAAAGGACACTTTACCATTGGTAAGAAAATACACTTTGGCTTTTTGAGCTTTTTGAGCAGTCTATACTAATTCTCCATTTTAACCCTTTGTCTTAGTTACCATGGAGCCCTGGTGGCACTGTGGTAAAACACTTGGCTGCTAAGTGGTCAGTGGTTCAAACTCACCAGCCACTCCATGGGAGAAAGATGTGGCAATCTGTTTCTATAAAGATTATAGCTTGGGAAACCCCATAGGAAACCCTATGGGGCAGTTCAACTCTTTCCTATAGGGGGTCTCTATGAGTGACAATTGACTCAATGGCAACAGGAGTTGGAACAAGTCTTAGTTACCTAGAGCTGCCATAACAAAAATACCACAAGCAGGTGCTTTAAAGAATGGGTTTATTGTCTCATGGTTTATAGAAGTCCAAATCAGGGCAAGAGCTCCCTCCTCGTCAGTAGTCCCAAATGTTCCTTGGATTATAGACAGATCTTCATGTGTTTGCTTCCCCTAATGTGGGTTATCTCTCTCCATATCTGCTTTCCCATTTTATAAGACATCACTCAGCAGGGATTAGGTTTAGGACTCACCCCTTTCTGGTATGGTCTTGTTAGCATAACAAAGAAAAACCTCCTTCCTAAACAGGTCACATTCACAGGTACAGTGGTTAGGACTTCAACATATATTTTTGGGAGACAAAATTTAATCTATAACACCCTCTGACTGAAAATCACATGTCAGGTATTAAACATTATTACTCTAATTATTATTAGAGTAATAAGATGTCTCATATGCTTTTTATATGAAAACAAAGTACAAAGATATGATTAAAATTTAATTTAAAGAGTGGTTAGGTGGATTTTGCCAGCTTTTACAATGGGTTAGATAAATCTTCATTTCAATAAGTACTGGGACTCAAGACCCCAAAATTTCATTATCAAGACTCCAAAACTTCATCATCTTTTTTTTTTTTTTTAAATACATTATTTGTGTTTACCAGTATTTGGGGTTTTACATACATCATCTTCTTCAGTCCTCAAAACAATCCTGAGAAAAGTGTTATGAGTCCATAACATAGATGAGAAAACTAGAGTTGAGACAAGTTGAATAACACCCAGGGCCACACAGGTGCTCAGTGACAGAACTAAAATTCAAATCTTGTTTTTTTTCTAATATTAGAGTCTGTATGTTGTCCGGAGGGCTAGCCTGGGTCCCTGGCCTCACCCTACTCACGGGAAAAATCTCCCCAAGTGGGTGGTCCTCAGGTGAGCGGCAGGAACCGGTGATGGTCTCCGACGGTGTTGGCAGTGGATTAACAAATGTGCATCACAAGCATCAATCACACAAGCATATATGCACTTTATTAAAAACATAGAACATTCCCAAAGAGAATGGAAATAGGTTTTCCCACGGAATGGAAAGATCATTAAAAGAAAAAGGCGTCTCCAGAAGGATGGAAACGGGTCTTTCCCTTGGAATAGGTAGGAAAAAATGTTAAGCTGTTCAACTTCTGTGCCTAAGGCAATTGACTGCTAACCAGAAGCCTGGCGCTTCAAACCCACCAACCACTTCTCAGAAGGAGGATTGGGCAATCTACTTCGGTAATGCTCTCGCCTCGGAAACCCAAGGAGGGGTCGCTGAGTCGGGTCCGACCCCACGGCACATAACAAGAAGAGCATAGAGGAGTGTGAAGGGGTGTTCTTAAGGTAGGGTGAGTTCCTTGAGTGACAGGTTGATTGACAGGCAGATTGACAAGTCTCTGAGAGCCTTCTGCGATTGCCCAGTTTGCAAAAGACCAAAACTGCAAAAAAAAAAAAAAAAAGAGTCGGTGTTAATTCTGTTATGATGATATTATCATGATATGGAATTAGGTCTGGGTCACAACATGAGGCTTTAGCGCATGCTCCAAGTTAAGGCATTTCCCTTAACCTCGTTTTCTGGGCCCGCGGTTATTCTGCTTAATTTGGATTGGCTAGGCCATGCGGTGGACAGGTTCCTGCAGGTGTCAGCTCATTAACTTCTGTAGATATTCCACCTCTTTCCCCTTTCTCCTCCCTTTGGGCCTACCCCCTAGGACAGGACAGGCACCTATTCTACCTTCCTGCCTAACATGTACTCTTTCTATTATACAAACCATCTTGCACTTTACTTGTTATTATGACTCAGTATTTTTCCATCAATGAGCATACATACATGTTTTAAGCATAAAAAAATATTAGATCAAATTGTGCTATAGGCTAAATAGAAATTTCTAATTGAAAAACTTAAACATGACTATTTCACCATTAGCCACTTTTAGGCCATTTATCTTATGGCAGGTATAGTATAAGAATGTTTGTAGGTTGTATTAACATCCTTTGGACTTTCATTTATATATTCAACATACATTTATTAAGCAACTACTATGTGCTAGGCACTGTTCTGGATGCTGGGGAATCAGCAATGAATAAAATGAATGAAGCCCCTATCTTCATATAACCTACATACTAGATAGACGAGGGAGAAAAACAACTAACAACAGTAAGAAAAAAGTGGTGATAAGTGTTATAAAGAAACATGAAATGGGTAAATCAAAAGCCAAACCAAACTCACTGCCATCAAGTTGATTCCAACTCACAGCAGCCCCCACTGGGTTTCTGAGGCAGTAAATCTTTACAGAAATAGATTGCCCAGTCTTCCTTCCATGGAGTGGCTGGTGGGTTTGAACTGCCAACCTTCTGGTTAACAGTCAAATGCCTTAGGCACTATGCCCCCAGAGCTCCTTTGATGCAGGTAAAGGAACTTTAAATCTGTAGATGTGAATCAATTATGAGCCAGGTGCTTAGGTTCAGTACAGACCTGTTGATTATTTATGTCTACACTGAACTTGCACCTTAATATTTCTGTGGGAAATCTGTTGTTAGGCACAGTCATGCTGGCTACAACTCACAGTGACCTTTTGTATTTAAGAACGAAAACACTGCCTAGTCACACAGCATTCTCACAAACCTTCTATACTTGAACCTTTGGTTGCAGTCACTGTATCAACCTACATTGTTGAGGGTTTTCTCCCCTTTTTTGCTCACCCTCTACTTCACCAAGCATGATATCCTTATCCAGGGAATGATCCCTTCTGACAACATGACCAAAGCAGATGAGACAAAGCCTTGTCATTTCTTGCTTCTAAGGAGCATCTGGCTACACTTCTTCCAGAACAGATTTGTTCATTCTTCTGGCACTCCATGGTATTTTCAGTATTCTTTGCCAACACCATAATTCAAAGGTATCAACTCTTCTTCAGGCCTTATTCATTGTCCAGCTTTTACATGTATATTGAAAACACCATAACTTGGGTTAGGCACACCTTGGTCTTCAAAGTGATATTTTTGTTCTTCAACACTTTAAAGAAGTCTTTTGCAGCAGATGCAACACATCTGAATTCTTCACTGGTGCTTCCATGGGTGTTGATTGTGGATCCAAGTAAAATGAAATCCTTGACAATTTTAGTCTTTTCTCCATTTATCCTGATGTCGTTCAGTGGTCCAGCTGTGAGGATTTTTGTTTGTATGCAGTAATCCATACTAAAGAAATCATCTTCACTTTCAGCAAGCAAATTTGTGTCATCTGCATATTGCAGGTTATTAATGAGTCTTTCTCCAATACAGATGCTGCATTCTTCTTCATATAGTCCAGCTTCTCAGATTATTTGTTCAGCACACAGATTGAATAAGTATGGTGAAAGTATACAATCCAGAATTACCCCTTCCTAATTTTAAACCACACAGTTTCCCCTTGTTCTGTTAGAATGACAGCTTCTTGGTCTATGTGCACTTTCCTCATGAGCACAGTTAGGTGATCTGGGAACTCTAGATGTTAGGAATTCATGACAGGTCTTTGACATAGCTATTATTATCTCAAGAGGACCACCACTTGTCTGGCAGTTTGTCACACTGTGGTGGTTTGCATGTTGCTTTGAGGCTGGAGACTATGCCACCAGTATTTCTAACACTGGCAGGGTCACCCATGGTGGATGGGTTTCTGCAGAGCTTCCAGACTGAGACAGACTGGGAAGAAGGACAGGGCCATCCACTTCTGAAAAAATTGTCCAATGAAAACATTTTGAATAGGAGTGAAATACTGTTAATGTATTACTAGAAAACTTTACAAATAGCCCTGAAATGTCTGATATACTCCCAGAAGATGAGACCATCAGGTTGGAAGGCACTCAAAATATGACTGCAGAAGAGTTGTCTTCTCAAAGTAGAGTTGACCTTAATGATGTGGATGGAGTAAAGTTTTGGAAATCATAATTTTCTGATGAAGCATAACTCAAAATGGGAAGAAACAGCTGCAAACATCCATTAATAATCAGAACATGAAATGTATGCAGTATGAATCTGGAAAATTGGAAGTTTTCAAAAATGAAATGGAACATATAAAGATTGATATTGCATTTGTTATTTAACAGAATGTTTCAAGATCTATCCTAAAGTACAATGCTGTCAGTGAGAGGATAATAGCCATATGCCTATGAGGAAAACTAGTTAATACTAATATTATTTAAATGTATGCACTAGCCACTAAAACCAAAGATGAAGAAATTCAAGATTTTTACCAACTTCTGCAGTCTGAAATTGGCCAAACACATAATTAAGATATATTGATTATTACTGGTGATTGGAATGCAAAAGGTAGAAACAAACAAGAATAATCAACAGTTGGGAAATATGGTCTTCATGATAGAAATGATGCCAGAGGTCACATGATAGAACTTTGCAAGACCAAAAATTTATTCAATGCAAATGACTTTTTTCAACAATGTAGATAGACCTCACCAGATGGAATACACAGGAATCAGATTGACTACATCTGTGGAAAGAGGTGATGGAGAAGCTCAATATCTTCAATCAAAACAAGGCCAGGAGCTGACTGTGGAACAGACTACTAGTTGCTCATATGCAAGTTCAAGGTGAAGCTGAAGAAAATTAAAACAAGTCCATGAGACCCAAAATATGACATTGATTATGTCCCATCTGAATTTACAGACCATCTGAAGAATAG